TTCTTTGAACTCCCTCTGGTTTAACAGACAAACAATTCCGTGAAGTAGCCAATTTTCGCGATTGCACCATCCTGCATCACCTGTAAAACAGTCGTGCTGAGGAGCAAAGGGAAAGCAGGCATCCAGGAGCTGCTCTGCCTGGTGCCAACATCGATGAAATTCTGTGGAAACTCGTCAGCTTTTTCTACAGCTGTTATTTTGGACAAAAGACCTGGTTTGGTTGTTCCCAGGCCCCAGGTGTGTTTCGACCAGCCGGCTGGGATCTCTCTCCCTTTGAAGGCCAATTCACTTTCTAGAGGGCATCACAGTATTGGTTTCAAAAAGGCGTTTTATTATTGTGTGTGTATTTGCTGTTTGAAAAGGTGGTTAATTACTGGCACTTTCATGGAAGAAGATGTGAGGCAGCTCCATGGTTGACATCATGAGGACCGCTGCTAGACTTCAGCAAGGAAACAGGGATGTGTGAGCCCCTTCCCGTTGGCCGGCCTCTGTGGGCATGTGGTGACAAAGCCCCACCATGGCCTGTCCAGCCTGCAGGTCTGTGACTGACGTGGAGACATCCTTGCCATGGGCCCTATGGACTGCCATCAGGTGGGTGACCAGTGGTTGATCACAGGTAAGACAGCCTCTCAATTGCAGGGCAAGGAAGGGCCCAAAAAAGCAGATAGCAACGTGTTTTCCTGCTGTTGGAAACGTCATACAGACATTTAGCTTTCCATGCCAGCTTCCTCAGCCCTGGCCGCTCCTGACACAGCTGGTGGTGGTGGAGCCAGTGTGCCGACTCCTGCCCTCAGCAGGTGACAGCAGAGCTAAAATCTTTGCAACAGGCCTCTAGTAACCCAGCTTTGCCCTCTTACAAAACGGGCTTTAATATTCGTTTTTCATTTCTGACTGAATTATCTGTGCAAAGCTTTGAAACCGATGAGATTACCTGATAAATGTTAAACACCGCTCCCAGTTAAAATACAGCCTCAGCGTCTCCTCCGACCACGGATGATGTAGGGGTTGGATGCAGACAGGAAGGCCAGCTCTCAAGGTTACCATGTCACCCAGTGAGCTGTTAACTTAATTTTCGGCTGATGGCACTTTACGTACAAGGCACAGCAAGGAACTGAACTGAGTACCAAACACAGGGAGACTGAGCGCCAGCTGTTCAGAAGATAAGATGAGAGATCACAGCCCATCTAAACTGGGAGAACAGGGATGGACCTTCCCTTCAGGTGGCTCCAGGTGGCATGCAACAAATCTATCTGATTAAAAATTTATCTTTTATAATTTGAAAGCTCTACGCACCAAACCCCACCGTTACAGACTGCTGTCACCACAAGTACTGGCAGCAAAACCCGACTGATGGATGTACGGAGCC